AAATATTTGAGGCTACACAGTGGGGTGAAAAACAGATGAAATCTGGATTTAAATTAGCTTTGCCTTATTATGGAAAGATTCACCAAGTTATGTTTCTATAATTGCAAATGCTCAAATAATAGTTTTAAATATCAAGTAAATAGACATAGAGACTAAAAATATGCAAGAATTCAGACTTAATTATAAGCTCTGAATAATATATTAGATAAGTTTCTACATCAAGATTGTTCTTTTAAATACCTATCCTGTCTAGTGGAGAAGCAAAATAAGCACGTGAGGACTTTGAAACTGAAGTTCAAAGAATTCTATCAATACATTAAGGGGCAAAAAAGAGTAGAGTGCTTTTATTCTACAACACTTAACTGAACAAAAGGGAAATACAGCATCCATAAAGATGTATGACATAGCCTGGAGAGTGGACACAAAAGAATGAAGTGATGAAAGACACCAAAGAAACACTCTATGAATTATGTTTTCAGATTACTTGAGAATAAAGAGATGAGTGTATATCCAGCAGATAACCAATTAATTGTTTTATGAACAGGTAAGTACAGTTTATAAGCTTGTTTCTCACACTCTTCAACATACTTTCTGTACAGCTGCATTAAAATGAGATTCCAGTTGCTAAAACCATGCAGGTGTCAAATTCTTCCTTCACTAGCAACTTGTGCTGCAGCCTCAGATTCCTGTAACCACTTATTTAAGACTATATGTGTGTACACACAAACACACAGACTTTGATGCTATTGAGACTTAATAGTCTATGTAATCTCAGTGTGTTTACATTTCTGTCTCACAAAACTACTTCTAGGGGATTTTTTTTTCCCATCAGTTATGTCTGATTCCCACTTTGCATATTGACATGGCCTCTCTCCTTTTTCTGTTCTTTTATACACAAGCCAGTACTGCTTATCTGTAGAAAAACAGGCTACATTAAGACACATTAAGATCTAAGTTTTATAAAGCAACTTATAAACCTTTGTTGTTGTTGACAAATTGGGCTGTTGAAAAAAATTGGAGCATGGATTCTAATGAAAAAGCATATGCTTCCTGGACACCATTTTGAATAGGAAGTGTTAAAAAAAAAAAGACACTAAGGGATTAAAACTGAGTCATCTGGAATTCATAGACCTGCTTTAAAATATAAAGTGGGGAGGGAAAATAAAAACAAGATTGCAGATGAATTTTCAGGTTTAAAAAACTCACTTAGAAGATCCGTAACAGCAGTGGAAGCATGTTCATTGTGATTACACATATAACAAAGTTTTTTAATACAGAAAGGTTGAAATAAAATCTTGCAGTAGATATGAATATTGCATCCTACAACTCAGGGTTTCTAATGACATTGTAACATGAAATGGCAAGTTGTAGATTTCTGTAACTTACTTTATGAAGAGATGAAAACCAAGACAAAGGGATATAACATGTATACAGGAAGATTTAATCTGGCTTTTTTCAGACCATGCCCCAAAGGAATCTTCCATGTCACAGACAAAGGAAGAGTCACCACTGTCTATCCAGAAAACAAGTTTCTATTGTCATCATAAAGATGTTATAATGATGAGTCTGTAACAGAAGAGCATCTACACTACCTTCTCACAATCACTCCTGTTTTTTCTGGAAATCTTGAGGCTCTAAATAGATATTTTTGAAAGCAACTAGGAAATGAAACACTGGTAAGGCCCTTAGTGGAAGTGGCATAAACCTTCTGCAAGCAGTCTGGAAGGCAGGGTCAGACATATATTCCTGTGGATTACACCACCTTTTTCACAGAGTTGACTGCAAGCCTTTTCGAAGGGATCCCTAACATTTCTTCCCCTTGTGGAACTTCCAGCCTCAGCCTAAGAGGATTTCTTTTTTCTCAGGGTCACAAGCATTCACATACAATTCATCTGTCTGGTAGCAAATGTCTTTTTCCTGACTGTTAAAGAAACAGTTAGATATTAATATTCATACTCAAGTCTAATCATAATTACAACAAAGTTATTGACATCTGAAAAGCTTTGCTTTACAAAATTGGCTTGAACATTCAACTGAACACCCATTGAATAGATAACTTAAAGAAAATTATTTTACTTCCTAGGTTTCACCCACAGGATGAAAAGCACTGATGAAAACTGATAAGAAAATATACCTGCAGAGTTCGATCTCTAGAGAAGCTCAACATGATTTTCCCTCAGAAGTGCTGCAGATTAAGAAAAAAGTGATAGAGCTAAGGGATAAGTTTGGAAGTACACAGCAGGGAAGTCCTCCTTGAACATGTTGATGATCTCACTCTTGAAATAGAAGAGATGGAAATCAATGTAATCACCTTTCTTTTGCTCAATCAACTACCACCTTGACAAGTTGCCTTGACAGAATAGCTCAACTTTTAATAATAATTTAGGGCAGAAAAACTACACGTTCCTTTCCTGCAGAGAAAGATTCTCACAAGGATATTCTTATTTTTCTCCTGGAATACTGTTCTAAATTCTGTACACGATTTTCACACACATTCCTCTGCCTTTGAGAGTTCAGTTATATGACAGGAATCAGCCTGAAGATGGTCCCTTCCTTCCTCTTCTTCCGCCACAGGTAATTTCCAGCTACTGTTTCTGTTCAGCTGTTTGTGTACCCATGCCCCAGCAGTTCACAGGCTACATGAAAAACTGCTTACTTAAAAATAGATTATTTTTTTAAATTACTATTTTTAATTCAAAAAAAGTGTGTCATTTGTTTTTCCAATAGAGCACCACAGAGCTACTGCATACTGTAGCCAAACTGTTGAAATAACACAAATGGGGGGAAAAGTAGCTCCTCAATCAGTTCTGCCACCAGAGAGACAAGTTATCATACAGCACCATAGCTTGTAGGTTTGTGAGGAGGACTTCCCATCTTCATAGTAAGTTTGAGACTGCAAGCTCATTTCTGCTCTCTCATGTAAGTTTGGACATACTCCAAAGTTACAGAGCAAAAATGGAGCTTTTGGACATAAGTTTGCTATATTTGAGTGCCTAATGTTAATTTCTCATATTGATAATTACATTTGAGGACAGAAACAAAACTTCAAAGTGCTTAGCTAGTTCAGATTCAGTTTCAGTGGGATACACTGTCCACAAACATCTGAAACAAAGTCAATTTCTATTCAAAAGTTTAAATACAGCTTTAGGAAGATTTGAGTCCTTAAAACTTCAGGTACCTACATTTTATATTTCATCATTGTTTTATTTATCATTCTGTCCTTACAGATTATACATGGGTTTTTTCAGCTGTAACCAAGAAATATCTCTATGCCATACACTCACTAACTATCTTAATAAAACCGTTGACTATCAAAGAGATACAGCATGCACATTTTTTAAATTGATATCTTGGTGTATCTTTCCATCTTGGTGTATCTTTCCATCTTGGTGCCATAAGATATCCTGAACTCAAAGTTAAGGGATAAGTAAACTAGTCATGTTTTGACTGTGCCATGATAACCTTCCAAGAACAGCTGATTCCTTCTATTATTTTTTCTTTCTTCCCACCTGAAATGGTTCTCATAAATTACTTTCTTAATTATTGTTCCACACACATTTCCAGCACCCCAAGATGCTACTTACAAGCTAATTCAGAGGGGCAAAGAGCAAAAAGACTTTGAAAAGTAAACATCTTCACCATTGTCCACATCGCTTTTGAAAAGATTACCTGTTCCTAGAGTATACATAAATGCAAGCCAGAGGACCATAAGGAGAATAGATCTTCCAATAAATCATTCCCTGGACAAGTCATTTTGGTACACAGTCAGGGAAGGGCAAGATAATTAGCTATTTATTAGTTCAAGAATGGAGCAGGTACTCCCATTGCTTGACATTCAGCACTTTACATGAAATATTACCAATACATTTCACACTCTCTGAATATGTGTCCAAGTTGTTCCTAGCACATAATTTGTTCTGTCTTTACTTGCCAGATTTCCCATTGCCAGGGGGCATAAGAGTATCTGACCACCCAGTATTTGACACACTGCAATAATTTACATTCTCCCACATACAGAGGCAAAACCAAACAATCAGGCTGAATGACCACCTTTCAAATTCAAGAGCTTTTGTTCCAAAAATACAAAACATACATGCAGTGCATTTATTACATTCTTATGTGACCATTGTACACAGCAGCCTTTGAATGTCATTGTGAACAAAAGAAAGTCATTGCTTTGAAGAGGTTAGTGTAAGAGTTTTAAGTAAATTAAGATATTAACAAGTTCTCCATTTCCAAGCTGTATTAAGAAAAAACTCAGCCTAGTTTACAAAGAGGAATACTGTGCTGAATTCAAACTTGAAGGTGCACAAGCAGCCACGGTAACCCATACCTCCATAGTTACAAAAATATCCAGCTTGCTTTCTAAATCTGAATGTGTTGCTGCAGAACTGAGGTATATCCTGGAGTTAAGAAGACCACAACAACTGACCAACTGTTATGTTTTCCTAGGTTCACTGTTGTCACGCTATCACACAGACTCTTTCAGTTTCTCTTGCCTTTACATAAGCAGTACAGCTATGTATAATTTTTTCAAAATTATAGTTTAAGGCTAAAGATTGTTGATAACTCAGTGAAAGAAAAGTAACCACTGCAGAGATGATGAATTTCAAAAAAATATACTGATAGTATGTGATGACTCTCATTAACTCCACATTATGAAGCTCTGTATATTTGATTGACTCTTGAAACATTAATTCAAGAATTTTCTTGATAATAGCTTTGCTTCATACTTATTTTTTCCTAAGATGGCTATTTTGTCATTCAAGATCTACCAGCATTTTGTGGTAGACAACACAGAGCATAATAATGCTTGTAGGTTTGTTCTTCTCTTGAAGATACAGAAAAGGGTCATCTGAAAAACAAAGCTATAGCGAAAACAGAACTAAATCAGCAATCAAAACAACTTATCCCAGTGGTATTTATTGTCTCTTTCAAAAGCCATTACTGATGCCGAGACAAGCAGTCCAGATAAAAATCTTTGTTAGCAGTTCACTTACCATATTTATTGATGATACAGGACCAATGCTGTTGACATAAATGTCAACATCAATAACTGTTGGTTTTACTGTGGAGGAAAAAAAAAAAGCAAACATTATTTTGTAGAAAACTAAGTAATCACTTTAAATATTTTCTTCCCCGATAACTGTAAGGTCTACTCTTCAGGTAGAACTACTGAGAAATATGGATTATGCATTTTTCAGGAAGACAAGGTTCTTTTTCTCCTACCAAACAAAAATTGCAAATTACAGCCTGTATCACTTTATCATCATGATCCCCATTTATCTCAGCAGTAATTTGTTAACGAGACTTTCAGTTCTAAGCACAGTGGCTTAAAGTTAAAAGCTAAGATGACTGACATGAAACGAGAAATAATGCAGCATATCACTTTTCCCCATTGCCTCAACACATGTGTCCTCTAGCATGTGTGTTCCACATCAATAAATCTTTCCCGATTTCTCATCTCATCAGCCCTGAAATCATCCTAACTTAGAATAAAATCACTATGAAATACATTTAGCTAAACCTAAGCAACTCTTCTCCTTTCAATTTAGGCTCATTCCCTTCAGCCCACTTTGCCTTTTCACTCATTCTTCCAAAGGTTTTTTAATTTGATTTGGTTTAGTCAATGCAAGTTTCTCACAAGATTTTCCATGTTCTCACACTTCCAGGATTTAATAGCCCAGGACAAGCTCTGTGCTCCTTTCTTAAGCTGAGGCCACTAGGATTTATCTTCCTTTTAGTATCCTTGGTATCAGTGTACTTGCTGAACATTATTCAGATAGCTCTTACTGGTGATGTCGTCTAACTCTAAAATGTCACTCTTACACTGAAAGGCACATAGGTTTTTTTTACTTATACTGCCCTCTTTCTGACCCCATAGGGTATACATTAACCTCTAAATTGAGATCTAAATTGGTGTTTTACTTTCTCCAGGGTTAATTGACCCAAAATTAAGTAAGTATAAAACCTGTTCTAACCTGCATAGTCAGAATTGATGTAAGCTTGGCCCTAGCAGGCCAACAGCTTCTATTAGACCTCTCCCTTTCCCACAGAGGAAAAAATCTTCAAAATATCTTCAAAAAACAGTCTTCAAATATCTCCAGAGAGCAATTCAAACCACTGAAGTTTGGGAACTACGCTGAACTCAGAACTTTTTTGCACCAATCCCCAAGACCCCTAGAATGAGGAAATGCAGGTACATCAGCCACTCAGAGAGCTTTCTTCAGGGAAGCTACTGAGCAGAGAAGTGAGGTACAGTGAAATACCACGGTTCTGTGAGAAGCTTATCTCAGGTGGATAACAGTTAATTTGTTTAAAGCTTAAGAAGCCATCCGGCACAAAGATGAAGATAAACAGGAATCTTCACATGTAAAGATGAGTAATTTTTGCCCGCATCCCCCAAATTTCAGACTAACGATAAGATGCTGAGGAGTTTTAAAGTACCTGAAAAGATAGATGGTTCTGAAAAAAATAGGCAGGCTGGCTTGTCATGTAAGACTTTGGTAAGTACATATCATTAGGAAGACTAGATATAATGTAAAAACAGGTCTTAAAGTGGGTACAAATAGCAGTTAAAGATGATAATAGTTCTCTCTAATTCATTAAGTACCACATACTTTTTTGACTGCATATGGTCAGAACATCCAGCACTATTTAAGGCCGTGGTTTCAAACTGTCTGAAGTACTGGCTTATAAACTTGGATCTTCCCTTCAGCAAAAGAAAATCTGAACTCAGCTGAACAAGCACAACTGATTAATGCAACTCTAATTGTACCCAGCTAATAACTAAATAGGAGTCTAGCAGCTTCTGGTAATGAGACTTGCCTCAAACTGCAGTAATAAATGTCATTACATAGGAATTGGTAATAGCGGGGAACTACAGCTAGCTCTTTTACCAAGACAGAATACATGGAATAAAGAGCTCTGATCTTTTTAGGGCTTATGTATGTATCTAGCTGGAAGTTCAACAGTAAGGAGTTCTGGTAAACATTAATGGGACTAGACTTAGCGATGCAAATTGGCATGCAATTGAATCTTGGCAGGATCAGGGACAAAGTTCAGGACCAGAACACAGTGCTTGGAATCCATTTTTCCATTAATCCATTAATCCAGTATATAAATAGATTATGAGATGATAATTTCTCATGAGTATGTTGGGCCAAATTCTCTTCCAGTGCAAAAAAATGCTTGTTAATGCTAAAGACAGTTTGGTCTTATTCACATTAAAGGTCTAATCTTGAAACAGAAGAAAACTAAGCAGCTGCCACTTCTTCTGTCAAAATGAATCAGCATCTAGCCTCAGACATTCCCAGTAAAATTCAAATTAAAAATAAAAATAAAAAAAAATAGGTAAACTATTATATCGCTACAACAACAAAAAAGACTAAAAGTTCCTTTCAATGATATATTGTTTTCCTAGGCAGAGGCAGAAAATACAATTGTAATACAATTGTATGGTAAATAAGTGTTCACGTTTTGAAAGAAAAGGCAGACGAGTACAGTTCTTGTGGCATGTGGGTTCTCATGGATATAAACAGATATAAACTGGGATAACCATCAGGTATAAATTTTAGATTTGATATCACAGGATTTTAATTCAAAATACCAACCACAATGAGGCAAAGATTTTAAGATCCAAAACGCATTATGAAAAAGAAAATAAGTGAGTTTTAAAGTTATCATGTCTTATCAGAAAGAACTCAGTTTCAGAAAGAACTGAGTTTCATAGAAGACATAAATAGTTACATTATCAATTATTTCAAGGCCTGATCAGGTTTTCTGTATACTATGTGCATTTGTCACACTCAGCTTATGGTCTGATTTAAGCCTTTTTTCTTGCACTGAGAAAGTCCTCACAGTCTGGTTGGTTGAACAACGGAAGTGTTAATAGCTCACTAAAAGTTGGCAATAAGATTACAAATGGATACTCAGCTCCAGTACCGTTTTGATATCAGTATCAGCCCAAAACAGTTCTAAAAAGCTTCCTGAAACTTAGAAAAATTACTGGCAGAACCATGTGTATATCACATACAGGTTGTCAACAAATGCACCAACCTTCTCAAAGTTCTTTGAAATATTCTTTAATATATGGTAGTTAACTTTCTCTAAAAGACAATGTACACACACCCAAGTAGCAGCAGCGTTATGCTGCTACCCAGTGCTATCTAAGGTTAGCTAACTGCTCATCACAATCATTTCATCTTCAAACATGTTGGGTTTAACAGAGGAGAGAATTTATCAAGCCAATCAAAATATCTGCAAACAAAACTAAGGTCTCACCAATATTTAGCTAATAGTCCCCATCTGATCCAAATGCCATGGCTTTGAGACAGACATTGTGTTTATATTCCAGGGATCCTTGTGACTATCAAATTGCGAGGACACATCCACGTGAAATTTGTCTACAAACTTTTCACTGTCTACAAACAGTTCAAAAGATGCCTAGCCACAGGAGTCATGAGTTCAATGCTGCCTGCAAAGCTTGCTTAAGAAGCCAGGTGAACACTTAGACAGTTAGTGTAAAACTAGGTCAGACATTTCTGGACAACCACAAAACACAGAAACAGCTAGAATAATGCCTTGATCACAAATACCCATGCAGGGTGACAATAGGATATGTGTAGTCCTGCTTCATAGATTTATCCTGGTGAAATAAACAGTACCTGAACTTGAATCCCATTAAAATCCATGGAGACTTTACTCTTAGACATACACTAGCTGATGATGCATGTAAAAAATTCAACAGATAAATCAAGAGGTAATTTCATGTAGGGGAAAAATCTGCAATAAGTTCCTGACATTTTATTACAGTTTTTTAGGACTTTAAATTATCCTGTCCTTTTAAAATATCTCTTAATTTTTGATAGATCTCCATAATTCAGAATTGATGCTTATTTCGTGAATGAAGCCACTTTGTTTGCTTCCTACAGAAAGCTTCCTCCACATTTGAAGTCTGTCCAAATAGCATTTATGTTCCTGTACAAATCATAAATATTTAGAATTATTTTTTAAAGTTTAATGTTGAGAAATATTTTTATTGGAAGCTTATTTAAACATGAGTAGAACCAGCTGAGCTCTCATAAATTTTAAAATAAAATTAAAATTAATTTTTGTTGAGAGTTAACCTTTCTTACATTGTTCAAGCAACTCCCAGGCCTAAATTATTCTGGTTTTACCCAAAACAGCAGTGGTAAAAATATTAGGGATCAATACACACATATTTATAGAAGCAAAGCAATTAGCACTAGATTTTTAGAAGGCACGCAACCACATAACAAACACAATAGGAGCTCTGTTCCAGAAATACACAGCCACTTGAACTCTGCCTAAGTTCCATAAGACTTCTGAACGCCACAGACTAACAAGATTGGCTCTACAGTAATGAGATATTTTTTGAAATTACTCTATAATGATATTTTACATTATCTCATTAGCACATAAATTGCTATTTTTAAATTGGGATAAAGCTGTAATAAATACATTACACAGTTATCGGTAACCGTAGTAGTAGTGACTATAGTGTTAATGTTTACTTTGCATTAGTGATGATGACTACTAATATTTCCTACACAAACTTATAGGTGACATCTAATTACCTGTTTGTTCCTGTTAAACAAACTGCTATGCTAAGAAGTCACTTCTCAGGGATAATTGTGGTCAGCTAAAACTTCTATATTTTAGAAAAAATTACCACATTTGAAGAAAGACATAGTAACAGGGATTGTTGAGTCATCACCCCTGGAGGCATTTAAAAGATGTGTAGATGTGGCACTTAGGGACATGGTTTAGTGGTGGACTTGGCAGTGTTAGGTTTATGATTGGACTCGATGATCTTAAAGGTCTCTTCCAAACTAAATGATTCCATGATTCTATTCTGTGATTCTACGAAGGCACCAGTGAGGAAAATAAAGAAAGACTCGTTCTTCCTGCATAGAAAAGAATGGGCCTGAACAACAGATAGAGGCAAAAGCTCTCCTCTTGCTACGGACAGAGAAACTCTGACAGAACTGTCATCCCTGTGTTTTAAAATCAAACTACCAAAACAGGACTGCAAATGAAAATCAA